TGAGCCCATTATTCAATTTCCTGCATTCTGGGATGACTGAGAAAAGATCCTGGCTTTTCTGCTGCTAGTGCTGCTCCACCTCACTCTTTCTCTTGCCCACATATTTAATTCCCATTCCACTTTTAATGGCATCACTGCAGTGAGCCACCATATTGATCTTACTTTTGGTCCATCCCACTATCTGCCATAGCTACTGGGTGGATTGCTAGGTGGATCTATGTGTAAGGCTGTGGGATTTCATTCAGTTGCAGGTAGGGATATGTGGTTCTGGTGCATAGTAGCATTTTTATGGGTGAAGGCCTAGATTGTATTCCCGGACAGCACTCACTGCAAAAACACAACTAATGCTATTTGTTTGAAATATGCATATGCCACCATGGACAGTGGCCCATGTTAGTCCTAAGTCGAGTAGACCCTTTGAAATGAATGGGACTTAAGTTAGTTATGACTTACTGAAAACTATTTCAATTGATCTACTATGTAAGACTAACATTGGATGCTACCCCTTCTTTCCAAAGAGCTTTAGGCAGCAAGTAAATTAAAAACACCCTTCCAATTCACAGTAAAACACAACAACAGCAAAAACAAAACAAAACACACAAAACACCAGCAATTGTTTTTTAAAAAATAGTCAAAACATGCAGTTCATTTTGGAGAATAGTTCATTTTTAAAGTCTTTGAAATAACTTTGTAGAAGTCCTGGACTCTTTTGTAACACCTTTCCAAATGTGTGTACTGGGTGATTTCAGTTAATTATCTGTGTGCTTCCACCTAAAACAGAAAGTTCCAGAGTACTATAAAATCTTCAGTGTTGGTGTTCCGCTGGTCAGTTTTATGTTTAATCAATTTCTGTACTGGCACCATATTCCAAAACTTATTGTACCATTGGTTGATAATGCCTTGTTTGCTTTCTAGAACTTAGTTACAACTTGTCTGGCAACCACTATTAGGCATCTAAGGACTTCCTCATACTGCACTTTTTTGTTTAGTCTGTCAATAACAGTTTGGTCAATTACTTTAATAAACTCTGCATGGAGCTTTACTAATAATATGGTTGTTTATTTTATTGAATCCCATATAGAGCTTTGTCCAAAATTCTTTTTTGTAACACTCCATCACATCCGGAAATAGGAACCTATTTCCCCACCTTCTTGCCAGCATCTTGGTGAAACAGTAGTATTGCTCCAATGGACTATTATTGGTATTAAGTGCCATTCTGGGATAGTTTTCAACACATTTCACTTACTTCTGCAGATACTGATCTGAATGGGTCTTTGTTCCAGATGCTTTTCCATTGCTTCATTTTGATAGATTCCCTTATGCCCTTTGATGCTGCTCAGTTTTTCTTGTGATTCTGTTGTATATATTTTAGAGAGTATTCCTTTAGCATTAGTTCTTTTAAAGAAAGCAACAACTATGAAATCACAATAGAGCTACAAAAGTCACGTACAGTTTGGCCCTGATAGAATGATTCATGTGCATAAAAGCTATAAAACCCCTCCTTCACAATTATTGCTTTTGGTTCCTTCTCACAAGATTAGGTTCTTTCTGAACTGGAATCTTAACTTTATCTCCTTCAAGCTGGGCAGAAAATTTTCACCAAGAAAGATCAGTGTGCTGTAAGCATTACATTGTTCTTCATCAGGAGAACACGGTGAAACTCAAAGACATGTGTAAGGAAATCAATGTGCCCTGAATATCTACCCGGATGAATTTCCTCTGAGTATATACAGGGTGTACTCCCTTCCAAATGTAAGTAAGGTAAGCATAGTCCTTCCACAGGTTGGAATTCTGCCATGTAAACAAAAAATACAAATTAAATGAACAAGCCCAGCAATAACCTGTTGGGCACTATGCTTTCGTATCTGCCTTGTAGACATGCAAACATAGATTGACAGCTTTTAACTCAGTTAAATTCCTTCATTTCTCAGCATGCTCTGCTCATAGAACAGAATTGGCCATTCATCTTTTCCATTCCTACTCTGTGTCTATTGCCCAGTTTTTCCGGAATCTCTTTCACCCACCTTGCCTGCACTAGCTTCTAAAACACTTGACCTACTCTTAAAAAATAACAGCGTACAACATCATATCCATGTAGTTAAAACTGTGATGGGTGAAGTGACTCTTGTTGAACAGATCCTGTACCGAAGCCAGGTGACAGGATGAGCCAGAGACATGCTAGGAGATATCAACCAAGAACCATAGATCTGATAGAGAATAGAGGTACTTCAGTGCCTATCAGTCTGGAAGAAATACAGGGCTATCCAAAAGTGATTTTGGGCACCTAGATTTTAAAAAGATGCTGAAAATCTGGAGAGGGTTCATAGGAAGACAACAAAGATGATACAGGGCTTGGAAACTAAGCCTTATAATGACAGGCTAAAAGAACTGGGCCTCTTCAGCCTCAAGAAAAGACTACACGGGGACATGATAGCCCTTTACTTCTAAGATTGTCACAGAGAAGAAGGAAAATCATCTTCTCACTTATCCCACAGTGTAGGAAACGGGACAATGAACTTAAACTACATTACACCAGGTACAGGCCAGACACAAAGAAGGACTTCCTAACTGAACAATATGACAGTGTAACCAGTTGCCTAGAGAGGCTGCATGCTCTTCCACACTAGAAACATTCAAGAAGAAACTAGACAGTTATCTGAGTGGGATGGTGCCCAGCACCAGCAGAGGGTTGGACACCACAGCCTTCTTGGCCTCCTTCCAACCCTACTATTCTATTCTTCTTTCTTTGCCTTCTCACTCCTGAAACTGTCCCTGAACAAGGTAATGAGGTGCCAGCAGTTCCAGCTGTTTTCATAGAAACATAGGAAGCAGCCAACAACTACATGTACCAGCAGTGGCTCAGATTTTTGAACAGAAGGCTTTCTAGCCCTCCTTGGACAAATCATGGGTAGAACCTGGGATCTTTTTCCATGCAAGGTATGTGCTTTACTGCTGCATTTCACACCTTATTAAGCAAATGTACTTTAGTATATGCAAGGCCTTCTCAGTGGGGACTCTTGCTCAATGGGAACTCCCATATGAGATATACAGCTGGTGGCTGTTTTAAAGTGTGGCATTCTTGAAAAAAAGAAGAAACAAAATTGTTTTCTTTGACTTTTAATTATGAATGTAACTTTTTAAATTGGTTTTAAAAGTAATGTGTGGATTTTTGTTTTATATTGTAAATTGCAATATAAATGGTAATCTGTAATGGCAGCTAGGAAATACAAATGGAGTAACAATATTCATAGCAACGTGCTTTAGAGAGATAACCCATACTACAGTTTTATGGAATGGTGTGCCACTTCTGCCATCCCCAGTATGACCATGACCCTCCATTGCTATCCAGATAAATGGGTAAAAGCCTGATCAACCACCTTTGAAAAAAGGAAAGTGATTCTGTCCCTAAAAGAAATAATAAATGTTCTGCTCTCCTAAGAGCATTCTCTTAGGACACTTAGATTATTACCAGCAAAAGTAACCTGAAAAGAGACATTTGAAATGCAAATCAAAATTATGGCCAATGTACATTTTACCTTTATATCACATGTGTGAGATTGCTGCTAGATCCTTTCCTGCTGGTTGAATTTTGTAACTGTGGGGAGAAAAGCAGTATGAAAATGTGGTTTCTGTCAGTGCAGATTTTACACTGGAATCATACACATGGGAGACACAGATGTGAAAATGGCTTGCAGTTTTACACTATGCTAGCATGCATCTGCAATATATATTTTAAGTCCCTTTACAAATTCTGCTGCAGTGTCTTAATTTTTCCTAGGCAGCTTGTCTCTTTCTGTTTTAAGGCAAATTCAAACTGTAAACAGTGGGATAGTTGCCATCATTTAAATGCCCAAACCTGTTATTGATGAAGCTCTTTTGAAGCAAACAAATGGTTTCTGTTAGGAGCAATCCTACATACTAATCATGCTCCCAGGAAAGGAAAATCTCACAACCCCTAAAACTACAAAAATGGCATCCAAAGAATGGCACTGCCTCAGCATCCTTGGAAGCACAGCTACCAATTGGGCTTTGCTGATGTCAACACCCAAGTGCTTTCCACCCACGGAAGGAGACAATGAAGTTGTACCATATCCTCGTGTTCTTCTTTTGTCGTGGGGTGGTTATTTTTACCCCCCCCCCCTTTGATTGAATTCAATGGGAGGAAAATTTCTTGCTCCATGTCCTGGACCAAGCAAAGTTGCAATGCTGATGGGACCTGCAGCCTGGAGAAACCTATATGGTATGTGCATTCCTGCCCTCTGTCACAAACGTACTGCCCACAACTCTTTGCTTTGGTCTCTCTGTTGGTGCAGCTTCCCTGATGGAACAACACCACTGGTAAGGGGTCCTGGAGGTGTCCGCTGGTGTCACTTTCGTGCCAATGATGTGTCTCAAGTTCTTCCAGTGTGACCTATCAGCCAGTAGAGCATCAAGTACAGGCTTGCACCCCTAATGGTGGAAGTGAAAGATGGCATGCAGAAAGCAAGGTGGTATTTTGAAGGACACCTATCGGAGGTGGCGGTGCAGCTCCAAACTCCTGACACCCCGCCTTCCTCTAGCCACACAACTTTCGTCACCCCCTTTTGCTGGCCGACTGAGAGGCTGGTGGTTCCGTTGCCTGCCAGCCAGAGTCTGCGCTTCAGAGCGGTGGCTTCCAGAAGTTCTCCAGGGCTTCCCCCTCCCTCCCTCCCTCCCATCCTTGGCACGCCGGACTCACAAGGAAGGCGTGTCCTCCTTCTCCGGGCTGCCGCCGCTGCCCCTCCGGGAAGCCGCTCAGAGCTATAAAAGAACTGATCAGGCGGCGGCTGGAGCTTCACACTCCCCGCCTCTGCCTGCCGACAGCAGCGCAGTGCCCCGCCGCGCGCAGAGCAAAGCAGCGCCGCCCGTGTCGCCTGGGCGCAGGGGCGGGCGAAGAGGGGGAGGGCGAGAGAGCGAGCGAGGGGGCGACAGCGGCACGCACAACCAAGAGGGCTCTGGATGAGCCCCAATGCGTGGACTAGCCGCCTTTGAAACATGCTGGAGCTACAGATCAGTTAAACGGAGTTTGCACACGGCGGCTGGGGCTGGATTGCAGCGCTCTCTTTCCTTATGAAGAAGGCACAAGTGAGTAAGGACGCCGGCAAGTTCTGCGCCTCGGGGGACGCATTTATGATGAGGAGGATGATTATTACTATGCTTGCATCGAATTCTGTATTTTGGGGAGGGGAGGGGAGGGGGAAATGGTTGGGAGAGCAATCGCCCAGGCAAGTCGAAGAATCTTGCCTGCCGCTTTCCTGAGCTGGGGATGGGGGGCGGGGGGGGGGGCGCTGGGAACGCGCAGCTTCAGGCGCTCCGGGGCATCTATTGCAGAGGGGCGTCTCGGGCTTGCTGCAGAACTTCACTCCAGCCCACGTGCATCGGGGTGACCGGAGAGCGGGGGGGGGGGGGGTTGGAAGGAATGCAGCTCCTGCGCCCTCGACGGCCTCCTCGGATGCATCGGGACAGGGCGGGGACGCCGCGCTTGCTCGGCATCTGGTGGGCGCGCCCCGGAGCCAAGCCTTGCCCCGACACGGGGATCGGGCTGGGGCTCGGGCTGCGGGGTCCTCGAAGCCTCTGCCGCCTTGTGAAGGTGACTTCGTGATGATGGCTGGGCCCAGCGGCTTCTCTGAGGTCCCTGCCCTTTCTGCCCTGCCCTTTGAACGCTTTCGCGGGGAAGTTCCTGGGTGCAGCTGAGAGGCGCGTTTATTAATAGCTGATTTATTATGACGGATGGGGCGAGCAGCGCACGGCTCCGATAAGGCAAAGGTAGGCGGCCATCTCCTGCAGCCTGCTCCATGGACCGAAGAGAGAAACTCCGCCGCTGCTGCTTTGCGCGACCGCCTGCTCCGGGCATCCCTCTTCCCTGCCGCGGACCTCGCTTTGCGCGCTCCTCCGTACCCTTCTCGCCCGGCGCTCGATGTCCCAGTGGGTTTGCTCGACGTTGTTCCGTGATCTCCCATGCCGCAATCTGACAGCTGGAGCCATTGCGGTGGCTACTTTGGGGAAGGCTGGAACGTTGGCTGAGAAGGGAAATGGACGAGAGTAGACCTGTGGAAATGAATGGGGCGTAAATCCCATTGGTTACAACCCAGCGGAATCACACCCTCTGCTTTTTGCTAATCTCAAAAAAACTCTGTTCAAAGAGTGAGCTGAAGGAGATGGGTGACACACGGAACTTAGCTTCAACCTGCTTTGCCTTCTCTCTCATGCTCTCTATCCACACACACACGACTTAAATTCTGGAAAGCGTGTTTCTCTTTCTGTTTTCACAAAGCCAATGGCTTCTTTTCCTCGCCCTATTATCTCAGAGGTCAATGAATTCCTGCCCACTTCCTCTGATACCTGCTGCTCTGTTCATCTATTTGCAGTTTTAGGTTTCTTGCTTATATGATATATTCCAGGGGAAGGGATACAGTGAAAGGAAAAAAACTGGAACGGAAACCTAAGTAAGAGGAAAATGAAAATGGGAAAAATAATTCCTAAGGTGATAATTAAAATAATAACAATGGTGATTGTGCTTCTGTGCTTTGGTGGCTATTTAAACTATATAGAATATATATGTATTCCCCATAGTCTGAAAACTTGCTAAAGCTGATACATTTACATGTGTAAGTTAATGCATGCCAGACTGACAGTCTTCATAGTACTGCAAAGAAATGCCCTGGAGTTCATCTTATGGCAAGGACATACTCACACAAACTGTACTTGGTGGTTTGGCCAGCCTTTAACTGTCTGGTCTTCACCTAAAATACATGCTTCAGCAGGTTATTTAAATGAAAGCAGCTTAGTTGCCAAAGATGCCTAGAACATAAAAATCATTCCTGAAGGAGACTATTCCAAAATCTAGTTTCTATGCAACAATTGCAGGAGCTTTATTAAAAACAAAAAGGCTCAGCAACTTTGGAGAGCACTGGAAAAGATGCAAGGAACTCACTCACTCTTAAGAAGTGGCTTCCAGTTTTCTGGAAATGGGAAGTTTATGTTGAAAGCTATCACGGCATTTTAGGTTAGTAAAACGGATGTGGTAGAATTCATCCCATTAGACTGTCGTCCTTAGTATTCTGGATGGGATGGTATGGCTCACCGAAGCCTTGTTTCATAGAGCAGCTATCAATTCCTGGGGGTTCCCGCTAGCCACAGGGATGCAATTAGGCTGCAAGTATGTGGAGATGCTTTTCTTTTCTTCTTTTTTCTTTTTCTGGTAAAAACTGGAGGCTGGGGGAGAAGAAACCTACGTAGAGAAATCTGCGCACATCTTGCTGAATTGTTCAATATTGATCTCATAATCCAGGCAGGACTAAACTAAAAAAAAAGGTTGGAAAGGTTAGAGCAGAAGAGGCTTTGAGCAGCAAGGTGCATTTTTCCTCACTGCCACTTTGCAAAAAGTTACATTCCACACTCAAGGCAAGTGGAAACTAATCCTGTAGATTGTAAAGTGTGCCTTATTTCCTCCATCTCTCTTCCTCAACTTGCCATCACGGAGTCCAAACAAATTGGTTCAAGTGAAGGAGGTGTCCTGGGTTGATGTGGGTATGGCCCTGCCTTTGACTAGGGGATTGCAGTTTATGACCTCTAAGGTCCTACTTCACTGTATGATGTAACCAGCCAGAGCCAAATAGTGTCTCAGCCATCGTGCATGCCTTTCATCTTTCCCCTGTAATATGGCCTCTTGTTCACATAACTCTTGCAGAATGGCGTTTTGAAGGGTGTTTTTGGGGTGGGGTGGGATGGGGTGGGGTGACAATCAGGATTTTTTTTCTGCTGCTGGTTCTTTGCATTAGGAATTGGCATTAAATATTTGAATGGAGGGTTTCAGGCTGATCTTTGCACCTTTACTCAGAAGTAAATTCTTCTGTATTCAGTAGTATTTACTTCCTGATAAGTCAATGTTGCAACAGCATGCTTATTAGGAAATAAGTTTCATTGGCTGACCCTATATTTGGCCCCAGATACAAAGCTTGTGAACAATGTTATGGACTGGACAGAAGAGGGTCAGTCTTTTTGTATATAAAAAATAAATTCTCAAATTTAATTAGGTAAGATACACCAGATGTGATTCTAATCAGGAAAAGCCTAATGTATGCAAATATGAACATGTATTGTTAACTGGACATTTGATTGCAGTAAGGAGACTACCTGAGTAAACCATATACTTAGGAAAACTAAGAACATTGTTTCAAATGGAAGCATTTAAGAATCCTAGAAGTTTTGTCATTGTGTGTTGAACGAAGTAAGTTAAATATTGAGTTGAACACTGTCACCATTCCATTATATCTGGAAACAGTTGTCAGAATGGAAATCTTTGTATGCACTTATGGAATTCTATCGTATATGAAAAGTTTTTTTTTATTTTTAAATACACTGTAATTTTCAATCAGCCTTTTAAATTGGTGTTAGGATTCAATCCTATAGATTCTCATTTACAGTAATCACACTGATGTAATCCCATTGAAGGATTACTCTGGTGAGCAGATTTGTGGGATCATATGGCTCAGTAAGTACATACGAATGAGAGAAGTAAATCTGTATAATTTTCACCCTTACATTCAAAGAAATAAAAGATTTGGAACTCAGTATACCAAATGTAAGTAATAAACAAACAAACAAACAAAGTGGGCTATTAGGAGTATTATACCACTGTGGACTTGCAAGAAAATATTTTTTGTAGTTATTGGTTAAATACAATTTCTTTATGACATTGGGAAAAATTCTTTTTTAAAAGGCATGGCACAGATTGCAAAAACTGTGGTATGTCAGGCATAGAGATATGGACCTTAATAACAAATTTGGTGGTAATTGGCAAAGACTGTCAGAAATTTGACCTGCTGGCTAGACATGCAAACTTTAGGAGACCTCAGTAGTGGAAAAGAGCTAGAGGCAGAAAGAATACAGCTTTCTTTTGTTGAATGGGTACATTCATTGCCAGCAGTTACATGACCTTCAGGGCTTCTCAGTAAGGACAGTCCTGGTAGTACAACATTCTTGTTGCTGGAAATAAGGCGGCTGCATGAGCTGTGTAGGAGAAATTCTGAGGGAATGCAGCAGGAAGGAAAGAGACATCTTATTTTGTCCTGTAAGACTTAAGCTGTAATATGCTGTCCTTTATGCAGGAATAAGCTCCATTGAACTTAGTGGGGTCTTCTCCTGAGTAGACATGCTTAACATTACACCCTTAGGAAGAAGTGTAGGACATGTGTACTTGATTTAAAAGGAAGCTTCCCTGCCAGGCTGATTGCTGCTTGTGAGTGTAGCCCTCATTTGGCAGTAAGCAGCAAACAGCAGTCATTCCTTTGATCTGTACTACTGAGATAGTTAGGAAAAATGAAAGGGCGTAAAACAAAGACACACAATAAGAGGAAAGCCAAGGCCCAGGAAAAGCAGACAAGGAAAGGCCCAGAGATCAAATAGGTATCGTACCTGGTTGTGAAAGGACCAAACTGATCCTGATTGTAGCTTCAGTGTGAGTCTGATTGAGACAACCCAGTTTTGCAGGCATCTTAATCATCATTGGTATGGATTAGCACTAGTGAAATAAGATGTTGCTTGACTACTTATTTGTTAGCATGACTGTCTTTAAACATCGGTGAACATTCATAATTGTCCTTCTTACTTTCAGTGCTACTACTTGGCCTTGAACATGCAAAGTAATAATAGAGAAACATGTTTTTAACCTGGGTTAGGCAAGTTGTGGCCCTCAAGCTCATTTTGAAAGCTTTCTGAATGTCATGAGTCTAGATACCTGACAAGAGTGATCTGTTTGTTTCCAGGAAGCCTTCTGGACCAAAAGAAACAGAAAAAGACAGTAGCAGAAAGAGAAAAGGGCGACCCACCATTTTTTGTTCTGTTCCCTGTTTTGTTTTGTTTTGTTCCAACAGAATGCAGGTCTCAAAAGAAGAAGGTCAGGGCCACCCACCCCTGCTTTAACCCATGTAGAGTGAATTTTCCTTGGGACTGTACATTGGCTACAATCAGATACCCCACTGTTGGGTCAGGGAAACCGTTTTTTCAGCAGAGCAAAAAGTATGGGAATTTTATGTATTACTTGCCTGTTCAGACACTATGATCCCTTCTTTTATAACTTTGAT